TATATATATATATATATATATATATATATATATATATATATATATATATATATATATATATATATATATATATAATATATATATATATATATATATATATATATATAGATAAAGCACTTGAATTCATAGCTGATTTGTCCTGAGTTTAAGGTTCAAAGCTTGCCATCAGAATTAGCATACGCCGGTTAAATAAACTATCATCGTGACACCTGACCTTTCGGCGACTTTTGACATCGGATCGTTTCTTCTCAACTAATAGATTTTGATAAACTTTAGTAAGCATAATTGGAATAAACCTGTGGGCCAATTTTCTGGTATGCTTTTTCGTACGCTTTCAATTTGTCTGCCAATCATATGACCATACCTGAACAAACCCCGTCATGCAGATACAAGCGTCAGATAGAGACAGCAGAGCCTTTGCTGCTGATGGAGACACTTCTCGCCAATACAGCAGCGAACGCAACGCTACACACCCAGATGGGCCTGAATTAACACACACCCATGGCAACATCAAGACATCTGAGAAGGCCCGGAAGGCTGCGCTCAGACTAATGGAGAAGCATCACGCCGAGTTCTTAGGCATGAGATAATTACATGTAGTCATATGTTGCTGTACGTATATACTGTTACACTATAGTGCACTCTCGACAGTTCAGCTGTGGTTGTTCTTGAGTATGAGATAATTACATGCAGTCATCTGTTGCTGTACGTATGTACTGTTACCCTATAGTGTACACTCAACAGTTCAGCTGTGGTTGTTCTTAGGTATGAGATAATTACATGTAGTTATCTGTTGCTGTACGTATATACTGTTAATCTATAGTGCACTCTCGACAGTTCAGCTGTGGTTGTTCTTGGGTATGAGATAATTACATGTAGTCATCTCTTGCTGTACGCATGTACTGTTACCTATAGTGCACTCTCGACAGTTCAGCTGTGGCTGTTCTTCGGTATGAGATAATTACATGCAGTCATCTGTTGCTGTACGTATGTACCGTTACCTATAGTGCACTCTCGACAGTTCAGCTGTGGCTGTTCTTAGGTATGAGATAATTACATGTAGTCATCTGTTGCTGTACGTATGTACTGTAACCCTATAGTGCACTCTAGACAGTTCAGCTTAGGCTGTTCTTGGGTATGAGATAATTACATGTAGTCATCTGTTGCTGTACGTATATACTGTTAACCTTTAGTGCACTCTCGACAGTTCAGCTGTGGTTGTTCTTGGGTATGAAATAGTTGCATGTAGTCATCTGTAGATACGTATGTGTAAACTGTACCTCATATCAGCATATGATTTGGTGCGGATGTTGTGATAGTTATTGTGTGGTCATGTCCTGCATTTTGAATTGTGTTGAGCATTTCTCAGTAGCCATTGCACAACCGCGAACATCGCTACAATCATGTTTAAGGGTTTTAGAGTTTCAGGGTTTAATCTTGGTAGCTATCAGTAAGTATGTTGTGTGATGCAGAATGCGATGACATTTATCTATACAATAGACATTCTGGTCGCACATGTATTAAATAATATGACAACCATGCATCCGCGAACACAGGCGCGTGCGTGGTCGCTGTAACCAAGCACATGACTGACAACGCCTCCGCTGTCGTGACGAGTTTTGGCACTTCCAAAGTACAGCAGGCGATGGCTCTACTAGCGGACGATGGCATCAGCGCACAGATACTACAGGTGACTATATATATATATATATATATATATATATATGTGTGTGTGTAT